TTTTTTTTTCTTTTTTATTTGTATTTTTGACCAGGGTTGCTTGTTGAATTTGCCCAGGTTTATGCATAGTGAAGTCAGACCTATGACTCTTCCTTGGTAAGTTATCTGAAAAATAAGTTATTTGTTCGAAAGCTGAACCTGCTATGTTCCAGACAAAATCTTATTGAGGTGCCTGATTGTTCGGTTTGCTCCAGTTAGGATGCAGGAGTGAAAAGCTGCTTGTGCTGTATTTACTGGCTGCACATAGTCCCTTCTTCAGCTGGCTACATCAGCACAGCTCTGGTGGATTTATACCTGCTGAGGAGCTGTCCCTTTCCGTTCATTCCTTAAACTCATTCCAGCTTGATTTTCAGTTAGTTCACCTTGACTTATTGTCCTTCATTATTTTAATATTCATTTATGTTTTTGATCWCCTGCTGACTCAATCATTTTTGAGCCGTTGCATTTCATTGCAATAACTAATTTCTAACACTAACAGTCTTGACTTTTCTAATCATTGTTTACTTTCTCTTTCTTCCCCTTTTTCCTTTGGTGTCATTATTAATCTTATCTCACCAAAATCTTTTTCTGACATTTCAACTTTTCATGATTATTAATTTACATTTTACTTATTTAAGCTCATTCCATTTCTTCGCCTTATACAATGAAAATTGCTGCAGAGTCCTTTAAAATCCCTCACCTTATTCCTGGTAGGTTCTGGCAGTTTCTGCAAGTCGTAGTTGATAGGGTAGCATTTCTTGATGATAAATCATACTGATGACCTTGCTTTCTTTGGAAATTGTCACTTTCCATCAACTAGTAGAGGCCACTTGAAACCTTTAAGTAGGAATTTCAAATGGAAAAATAGTCCTGTTTGCTTGGCTTGTTTTAGTAATTTAATGATATTGATATTTTACTTTGCTGCTGGTATTCTTCCTCCAGGGACATAGTTGCAAAACTTCCACTTTTTTTCCTCCACAGTCTGGAGGTTGGTAGGGAGATGCTGTTGTTCAAATGCTGCGCCATGGGAATCTTCACTTTACACAGGGAGTGATTTTTCTGAACATGGGTGCTCTCAAGAAGAAAAGCTGTTTCTTCAAGTTAATGTCTGACTGTGAATAATTTAGTAACATTGATATTCTTCTAGTTTTGTGAATATTTTATGATAAGCTTTGTGAAGAATCTGTAACTTCAACTGTAAGATCAGTGAGAAAAGCTGCTTCCATTTAGGTTWCTCTGTTTGTATAAATTGACTGCTTTGTAGCTACAATCTTATTCCTCACCTGGTGCAATACAGCAGTCAATAAGAAATTAAAGACCCAAMATAATGATTATATCGGAGATTATTTTATCTGAGAAATGTCTTGTGGAGAAATATTTATCAGCAGTAGATTGAAGAACATTCTTGATAATATTGGTCAAGTCATTTAATTGCCAGTTCTCACTTTTATCTGCAATAAAAATGAAAATGGTGTCAGGAAGAAAAAGTGAAGTGAAATATTCTTATGTGAGACTCCATCTGAGAATTTTTGTTGCCTTCTGACTATGGAGCTTACCTTAAATAGCTCTACAACAAAGATCCAATTCTGTTTTCATTCTTATAGTGTTGTATTCTTTTTCCTATRACAAGAGTCCATCATTGATACTTCAAATGTATCTGCAACCTGCCTAAATCCAACCTGCCTATAATGGGGCTTTAATGTTTATTGTCTTATTATATTATATTATTATTATATTATTTTTATATATTATAATATATATATTATATTATTATTATAGTTCATTCTCTGAGACTGATTTCTCACTCTGGAGCTCTTTATTGTAGAGCTGAACTGAAATCTCATATTGCTTTGGGTCTAAAAGGGCAAAATGACAGAAGCTTACAGAGGTATGTGCAGATGCAGCAGTCTCGTGTTGTACAAAGTAGAACCACTCCTTGCATTCGTTTGGTGAAACAGGGTCCTGCTGACAGCCAGCTACAGTAATTATATAAAGTACTTGCAGAAAGTTTCCTTTCTTGTTCAGAACATTTCTGTTGTGAAATGCTTTGAGACTATGAACTACTGTGGAAAGAGGGAGGGGGAAATTCAGGTAGGGTTTTGAACKCAGCAGGAGCCAGCTGTGAGGAGCTGCCGCTTCTGGCAGAGGCACCATCCTGCTTTTGGTGAGAGACGGGGGCTTGAGGGAGGTCCCAGCACATGGTAATATTGTGCCTGCTCATGTGTTAGAGCTGGTTAAGTTGCAGCAGTAGCTGCRATTAGATCCAGGCTCACCTGGGGCTGCTGTTATCCCTCTGCCTGATTCTCCCCTGCTGCAGCCACCAGGAATTCCTTTCTCCCAAAGATTCAGCCCATCAGCTGAAGGAGGTCCCTTGGATTTGGCATCAGCTCCGGGATCAGGCCACTCTAGCAAGCTGCTAGGAGCCTGCAAAGAGCAGAGGCTCTCCCCAGGTTGCTGYAAGGCACTTCAGCGAGAATAGCAAAGACCTCCAGAAACAACACCAGAAAGATCTAGCTAACAAGCTGGCTGCCATTCAYAGATTTTATCTGCAAGGATGCTGGCAGTAATAACAGCCTGAATAATATTTAAGCGTATTTTAATAATGGTAAAAAAATCCCCAGATGTTTGTGTGTGTGCATGCACATGCACACACAACTAAAACAAATCTCTAAGTGACGGCAAGTTGCAGAGTGCAGAGCTATCTTAGTATTGAAAAATCAGTTAATAGTAGCTTTTTTATTGGTAAAATATTTGTCCTTTCAATCAGTGCAGGAACTTTTCCTGTTAGGACAAGCTGCTTTGCAGTTGAAACTACTGGCAACAGTTTTCAAACATCTTTGTGGCATCTCCATGAAATCTAAATGCCYGTTGAAAAGCTTCCCACTGGTCAGGAAAGAGGTTCAATGATCATTTTAGGATTTTGATGAAATGCATGTATACCTATAAACCCAAATTCACTAAATTTCAGGAGTCTTCTGCCTTCTTGTATTACCAGCCCGGAGAGACTCACAGCTTTAAGCAGTGTTTGAAAGGACCAAGAAGGGACCACAGAAGCAATTTTGCTCTGCTGATCCAGGAGCAGAAGAGGCTGTTTTAGGGAAGACAAAGCACCACCAATATCACAACATCATGAAGACCAGATACAGTATCTCTATTTGAATACCATTTACTCACCTGCAGGAATCCCAATTAAGTGGAATTACCACCCCAATTAAGCAGCAGTCCTTGCCATTAAGTATCATTAGGCTTAATTTGGTTCTCTGGGAAATGTCCCGATTAAGGAGGTTTCATGATTAAGCACCTGTAATACATGTTTTTGCTTACACCTAAAATTCTTTTTTTATTTCATAGGGCCTGATCACTGGCACCTGAATACCAGCTAATATGCCACCTACTACTTTTGCCATTTTGATTTATTAATTGCTCTGTACAAACTTCTCATCTTGTCTTTGAAAAGGTTTTACGAGGAAATCTTTATATTTTTGCATGGTAATTTTGTAATGCAAGTACATTCCTGTATGTTTCACAACTGTTGCTCTCTGTCAGTCTGATAAATATTTAGTCTTTCTTAAAAGAGCAGCAATCTCCATATGAACGTCAATCATGTTTTGAGGGAACATCCTCTTTGCTATATGCTAGAAGAAGGTTAGTTGGCTGACCTTAAATTTCTTCTGGAGAAGAAATAACATTGCATGAAGAGAAACAGGCACAGAAAACATCTCTACTATAGACTGTTCAAATGACCATGCTGCTCAGGGAAGTGGTGGAATCACCATCCCTGGCAATGTTCAAGAAACATGTAGATGAGACCCTTAAAGGGATGTTGTTTAATAGGCATGGTAGTGRTGGATTTACAGTTGATGATCTTGAAGGTCTTCTYCAACCATAATGATTCTATGATATTATGTATAAGATCTTCTCTTTATAAAGTGAGTCTTTGACAGGCAAGCTGAGCTATAGCGAAGACCAAAGTTCTTTTCAGTGTAAACCAACAATGCCATGTGATTATGGTGCCAGATCTTGAAGGGAGATCTTGGCTTGAATAGCAATAAGGGCAATGCATATTCCAAAGACAAATGGTGTCATTGGAAAGTGTCGATTTGTGGAGACCAGCATATTTTCTGGAAGCATCTCTGGTTCAATGACCATTCACTGAATCCAAGGCAAGGTTCCAAGAGATTCTCAGCATGGTGTTTTTAGCCTCATGGCCAAGAGGAGATTTATGATGATATAGCAAAAATTATTAAACAATCACAAAAATTTCTAATGCACGAGTCTAAATTCACAGATGTGTTTTTTATCTTTTTTCTGAATTTAAATTCATACATCTGATGATAAAAGAGAATATCTATGGATAAAAACTATTATAAATAGTCAAGAAAAGAAAAAGGGAAAAGGAAATAAAGTTATTTGTTTTAAAGATTAAACTCTAATGGAATAGAATGCAATTGAATGAGGGACTCGAATCAACCCTCTAATGGGAACGTGTGGCAAAGGAATCCTTCTCATATGTGAAAGAACAAGTAATGATAGGAATGTACATAAATTTGTAGGATTAGAAGGCATTGAAAATGTGGAAGGGAGTACAAGTACTTCATGGCGTTACATACAAGGGGTTTAAATATCTAAAACTGCACCATGTACATATGCTTTAAATGGACAAAAAATAAATATAAAGAAGTCTAGTAAAGAAGGGCAGTACTCACTGTTCTGAACAAAAACCACTAAAAGCAAAGGAAAACATAAAAACAAACAAATAACATGGTTTAAAAAAGTTGTTTTAAATCTCTGTGAGTGCTTGGGGGGAAGGGAGGGGGAAGGCTTTTCCCTGCCGCTTCTGTCTTTTGTTCTGTCCCTTTCTCTCTCCCTCTTTTTTTCCCCCCTTACTGGTATTCGGCAGAAGAAACCACACAGGAAATTTTGACACTCTGATAGATAATCCTGCAATTGCACTGGTCAAAGAAAAAATATTCAGATTTATAAATTACCTATAAAGTAGCTTTTTCTTTTGATGTGTGCATAACTCCCATAAATGTTAATGCTAGGTCTGGGCTTCAAAAGGAGAATATSCCCCTTGCTGTACTGTAGAGTTTAAGACATAA